GTATATTTATTTTTTTTAAAATACTTACTTTAAATGTATTCGACACTAATTGTACTTCAGGACCACCATACACATTCAATATCGTAGGATATTTTATTCCAACTTGAAAATTGTGTGGTTTAAAAATCATTGAATAAAGAGTCTCATTAGATGATATTTTATAAGTATAAATTTCTGGAGCAAATAATTCGGATTCAAGAGGAGATGGTTCTAATAAATAACCTACAGGAGTTAAAGAAATACTTTCCACTGTCCAATCTGATTGTGATATTTTAAAAACCTAAAAAAATATTGATTACCATAAAAATTTTTTAATATTTATTCTTATAAAAGAATCGTACTTGACACGTTGGTAATGTTTTGATGGAACTATAAACAGTCACTAGCATTGTACATTCCTTATTAAAATATATACTATTGTGACTGTAACCTGGTCTAGTGAGCAATCTTATTTCTAGCGGGCGACGAAGTGACACAGCATAAACATGCTGTTCTAGTGGACCCTCACGTAAACCACAAAAATAAACAATAGAATTAAGTTCATCTACCCACAGTTTTTTACCCAAGACTTCCCAATCTCCTTGAGTCAAAGCGATTTTAGAAGTAACTCGAGGTTGCAAAAAAATACTATCCATTTTATCCAATGGTTCTTCTACTTCATTATTTAAACCTATGAAAAAGGATAGAAAAATAAAAATTACTATTTAATTTTGTTAACATATAATTAAAAATCACTAAGATTATTTGTTATTTTACCAGCTATACTAGATGTGATGAGATACAAATGTCTAAAATCAGATTCTTCACTGCCCCAAAGAATTTGACTTCTGTTGGATCGTCGGACGGTAAAAAATAAAGGAGATCATTAACATTGATCCAAATCGAACTTTGTTCAGAATATATTACTTGAACACTCGCCGATGACGGTGTAAAATGATTTTCTGAATTGTATACGTTAGGCGGTGGTTCACAAAAATTATCTATCGATAATAAAACTAACTCGAGTCTTTGTTGCTTTCTATCCAACAGCTGGACCCAAATGCTATATTCATATAAAACTATATTATAGAAGTAAACATTGAAACATGCATAGCTAATTCAGAACATTTCTGACTTACTATTGTGCATCAGGAGTCCATCCCACTCTTACCATGTATTCCATCCATGGGAACATAATATGCAATGGATATTGAAGTTCTAATATTTCAATGTCAACAATTTGTAATGTTTCTGTTAAACGAAATTGCACCATCTTAAGATTACTTTTTGCATTAGGAGTACCAGCTCTTGGAAACCTGAATTCATCTATATCTTCAGAATTTGATGTTGATGGAAAACAAAATATCTTCACATCGCTTTCATCAATTTCTTCATACACTATTCTATAGATACTATCATTAGATTTTGGTTGCCACCAATATCCAATATATCTGAATAAAAATATTATATTATAAGAATTATATATGTAAATATATATGTTATTATTATATTACAAACCTAGTAAATTCTTCTTGCATTACATAAGAAGGAGTTCCTGCAGTAAGAGGGTCATTTACTAAACTCTTACCACCTTTTCTTGCATGTGTTAATCTTACAGAAGAACCTGTGATACTATGAGACAAATACAAATCACCCGAACATGTATGAGCAATCAATGCATTATTCCAAGGGCAAATTTGTGGACATAATTTAGCACCTGATGTTGACATACGAATTTCAGATGGAAATAGAGGTCCAGCCTAATGTATAAATATATTTATTATTTCAATATCTTAATTATATATAAAAAGAATAATAATAATAAAAAAGAAAAATACCATAAATCCTGTATCTATACATTGATAAAGGCTGCTTGCAGCTGGAAAAACCAATTTTCCACTATCTAGATGAATCTCATAACTAGTAATACCCCATGTGGCTAATCTTTTTCTTTCCCATAATAACTGTTCTTCTCTTGATAATCTTTTGGTACTTGATACACTACAAATAAATCTTTGCATTGTTATCCTATTATCTTTAAAAAATAAGTGGTTTATTTTCTTCTGGAAAAAGTTGTATTACGTTTGAAAATTTGCTTCTATAATTGGTTGCCAATGAAGACGATAACCATTTGCATGATCTGAATGTGCAATATCCACAAATAGTAATGTAGTTTCCCATCCATTACTTGGACTACTAAGAAAATATATTCTAGTCCTAAAAAAGGAAAAAATTGTAAAAATAATAGATTTTTAATTGTAAAGGTTATGTTACTATTTTAGAAGTATTTCTTACCGTCCATCTGGTAAAGATCGAAATGTTATAGATCCAGGAACAGAGCCTACTGATACTCCAGACAATTTTCTACGTAAATCACTGACAACACCTCTCAATTCTGACCAACTTCTTTGCATTACCGCGATGTCAGTTGGAGTCCGGTCGCCTACTTCGTTGCAAGCCTCCATATTTTCTCGTTCTTACCTTCGTTTTTAATAGGTTATTCATCAAGAAGACAACACATTGAAAAGATCATGTCAAAGAATTTTTCAAAAACTGTATCGCATCTCTGTAAATTCCATGAAATCTGTGATAACTGCACATACAGTTTATTCTTAGGTTATGTTCGTGAACGGTTTTCACTTTCACCTTCTCCCCAAACACGGTCTCTCCCTTCTCTCGACAATCCACGACAATAATTTTGCGAATTCGTTAGCGCAAGTCTCAATCTATATTAAAACGGTTGCCAACAATTTTCAGCCACTTCCCACAAATTGATGTGACAATTCTTCCTATTGGCAATCGTCAGAAGTATCTAGATTATTCATTAGCATGTACGACACGTGAATTTACATGTGTTATGAGTACGAGTATTAAGATAACGAATTCTCTTTCTATTTTGATTAATCTTTCTTTCGATTAATTTATGTTCATTTTACCTTGACAAAAAGTAATTGTAAAAATAATAAATAAAACCAATCTATTTTTTTCTTAAATTTTTCTTTCTTCATTAATCTTTTGTTTCATCTTTAGAAAAAATATCATTCTTCTTTCTTCACTTTCAATCACAACAGATATGCGGATTTTTTGATTTCACATTTTTCGTTATCAAAATCAATTAGAAACGTTGAAATTGGTTTTAATGGGAATATATATATAGTTTTTATATTTTTATATTTTATTTTATATTTTTATATTTGTTTGTTTATCCATCCAATAAATATTTCTTTATTAACTTATATACATAAAAGTAAGAGACAAGAATGATTTTGTTATGTTTGTTATTTTCCATATGCATATTATTTAAGATTGAATTTAAAAATTTTAATAAGATAGTATTGTAAAAAATGTTGTTATGCATGTACATATATCATTAACTTTCTAGTTTTTATTTGCGTAAAAGATAATCAAAGTTATACAACTTTGATTATTTATATATATATATACATATATATATATATATACACATATATATATATATGTACGTATATAAATATATGAATGTAAGACAAGGAAAATAACTAATGTTTATTTTCCTTATATTTTTACAACTTTCATTCAACTCTCTTCGTTTCTTGACATTTGAATTACAATTCTGGCGATCATAAACATTTTGATATTAATCCTTCAATGGCACATTATATTTTCAAATCACCAAATGATATAATTTTTAAATTATTTAGCGTGTTTATCTTTTTTCTTCTTCTTCTAAATTTTTTATATTTTATACTTATCTGAATGTATTTTTTTTTTTTTTTTACTATATGTTACATATGTTTCTATCCAATGTTTGAAACATTGGAAAAAAATTTAATCATATTTCTTAGTATATTACTTAACTACAGCCATTTGTATAAGAATTTATAAGAATTTCAAACACATATGCAATGAGAGCACATTCAAAAGATATACGATGACAAATGAAAAATAAACAATCATTGTGTATGTTCATATAACATCCAAATTGACATATTTTTGTCATTGAAATTTTATAACAGGTTATTAATAATCATATTTTATAATGTATTAAATTTTTATCGTAAATTTATTCGAAATAATCGTATGTTTAATTTTAATTGATTACAGAAATGAAAGAATGGTAGGCAATTTAAGGGTACCACTCTGTTTTTTAACGCGCCGCCCATACAGCTGGGATACCGCCCCAAAGTTTGACTTATTTACTTGTGAAAAGATCAAGAAAAATTATTCGGTAAGAGTATTTAATTGTTTCGTATCATTACAAATACGATTATAATATTATATTAAAAAAAACCGTATAATTTTTAATGAAATGTTTTTAAACGGTAAATCTGATAAATGTTTCAATTATTTTTTATTTAAAAGAAATACTGAAATTAAAATTATTAGTTTTTTCTGATTCATCATTAGCTTGATGAATACTTTATACAAATTTATGCGAATAATTGAATAAGAATTTATCTTGAAATATTCAAGATTAATCAGCATCATTAATTAGATTACGTCTTTGATAATATATATTTACATTATATAATTATTTATCTAACATAATGCATACTTATCGTAAATTGTTCTTTTTTTTTCCGTAAAAGAAAGATATTTAACTCATTTGATTTTGAAATGTATTATATATGATGATATATTCAGAGATATATTTGTCTCCCAAAAGATATTTAATAAATTGCATGTGTCATAGTTATAATTATTTTTCATGTAACGAAATTTAATCATAGAAAAAAGAATATATATAAAATCATAGTCTTATCATATTTGCATGTTATATTAATTACATTGCATCAACTCATGTGCACATATCTATTATCATTATTTCCAAAAATATTTTTTTACATTTACGTCCGCAACTTATCACTTTGGAAACTGATAAATATGAAATCGCTTGATTCTCTTTATTTACTTCAATTTCTAAAAAGTCAAACGAAAACAGTGTAGTTGGATCAAATTTCTTTCAGGTTTACGCACATGTATATATATATATATATATATCGTTAACGTCCAATAAGTTTGTTGGGATAGTATATTTCTTTCGTTTTGCTCACACTTACAAACATGTGGCTGTTTCTCGACTTACGGAAGAACCGCTAGGGTTTAGGAGAACCGCTAAAAGCTCACGTAAATATGGAATGTATCGATTCGAATATTAAGCAAGATATCGTTGGGAAATAACGTAAAACTCGACCATGTAATTTTGATGAGCACATTTAGCTAGAGAATAGGAAAGTTGGATAATTTTGTAACAGTACGCTGTACTTATCTACTTAATTAAAATTATAACAAATTTATGCAATTTTTTAAAATAATATTTTTCAAATAAACTTTTTAGACATACATTTTAAAAATATAATGAATATATATGAAAGTAATGAATATATCAAGAGTTATTTTTGCGAAAACGTCTGAAAAATATTTATTTAATTTTGTAATCGTCGTAAAAAAAATATCAAATATCGAGAATGAAAAAAAAAAATTCGATTTTACTATGACATTAATAGAGATAATATCATTGACAAGAAAAACTTTGGTTGTTAAATGGATTAATGGTAATTTTCTAAAATGGAATATGCTAAATACATAGACAGCAAGGAAATAGAGAAACGAATAAACAGGAAACTTTAAATCAGTTCGATTTGTATCAGTTTGTAGAACTGATGCATGTTGTTGAATGGCAGATCCTCGTTACAGATGTTGCTGAAGGATCAAACAATTTACAGGATATGTAATCGATACTGAAATTTCAAGGTCATGGATGAATAACAAGAAAAGATCAGATTTTTTTTTAGCAACGATTTCTATCTTTTTTTAAAATGATGATAGAATAAACAACATTTATTATTAATATATTTATTATTAATATATATGTTTATTTCCCTTGCAAATTCTTACTTTTTATCTCATTTAAAGTTTGTGTATTTTAATGAAAATAGATTTCACGCTAATTTTAACTTTTTAGAGTTAAAAATCACTTCAAAATCATGTCATATCATATTACACATCGTTGAATGTATTTTAATGTTATTAATAAAAAAAAAAAAACAAGTAATATATTTATATGAAAAAAAAAAAAAGAAATTATGTTGGCATAAAAACATCTTTTATAGTATATTTAACTTTTCATATCATACAAATAATATACAAAATATTTTTTTTTTATCATTATAATCAGAGGTATTTATGTGATTATCTTTAAAAGAATTATCTTATACGAAAAACAAGATTGATGTTTCTCTTAGTCTTTATATAAAGCAATTTGTGAACAAAGTTTCAAAAGTAATATTAATTTTAATAAAATTTTTCAGTTTAGAAAAAAAATATATTTAAATTTGAAAATGTTGAATTAAGAGATTGCTATACATTATTGTTAATCTATTATTTTTAATTGTTTAACTTTTGTAAATAGTGAATATAGTACAAAAATAATTTTTTTTGTACACACAAAATTTCAATTAACTTAGAAATTACGTATATATATGTACATTTACATTATTTTAAATTTATTTATAATACGTTTTTTCCATATCATTGTATATCTTAATTTTCAAATTAACGTGTAAAATTTCAATTCAATTATAATTTTCATTTTTTAACCGAATAAAATTCCGATTACAGGGGATTCAACTATTTCTCCAATCTCAAATAATGTAAATCAAATTTTTTTCATAAGGTTGTCGTACAATTTAGAAAAATCTTTATCGACGATGCAATCAAGTATCTCACGTAGAAAGTTTTATCCTAAATATGACGACCTTCGATTTTTAATTAAGCGGGTGTAAGTGTTAATCGAGGTAAAAGCGCAATTCAGAAGACGAGATACGCCCGACTGGAGTGATATTCCAACCTATGTATTTTTAAAAGATCGGTGACGGTAGTGGTGTATATACCGGCGGCACTAAACCGAAGATACGAGCCGTTTCTTTGCTCTTTTTTCGTTTTAAAAATTTCTGTCGGGTCAGATGTCCCGTATATCCGAGAGAGATGACTAACGCATAGATTAGAGTAGCGGTTCTTTTGTTTACTAATCCATTTTAAATAATTTTTTGCTGTAACCTTAATTTAAAATTTAAAACCTAACCTAATTTAAAATTTAAACATGTAATATTCATGCGTATAAAGTCTCTAAAATACTTATCAATAACATTCACATTTAAAAGGAAGAGATTTACAAATAATTTTAAAAACTTTATAAACTTTATGCTCTTCGTCGTCAATCATTTTTTGTGTGTGTGTTATTTGTGTGTGATGAAAACTTTATGGACTCTCAATGAACCATGGACTATAGATTATTATAGAAATCTGTAGAGGTTATAATTTTCTTTTTAGTGCGTTTCTCAATTGCTTTCGTTTCGTCATTTTCGACTATCGAATTCCTGTAGAAAAATTTCTTTAAAAGAAACTCTCCTAGAAAAACTAGAAAGTTCTTCTCAGTTATTGACTAGAAAAAGTTTTACCGTTCGACGTCGACGTTTCTCAACACTCAGTTCCATATGTTAGTTTTTGCGCGCTGGAATAGAAGAAGAATAACCGAGAAAGAACAGAGCAACCTAAAGGCATCAAAGATTTAAGCTCCACATCTCTTTACCCCGTCATTCGTACTTGTGTAGAGTGTCTCTTGCCTACTCTTCTCTTCTCACATCCCTGTCTCGACTTTACCGAACGAGTGAACTATTTATCAGCAGTCTGAAACAAGTTACTGCGAATGTGTATTTCGAAGGAGTAGTAGGGACGCGTTTGGATATCACGTTTTCCTATAAATGTTTAAAAAAATATCGAACCGCTACCGAGCTGCCGAAGAAAAACGTAAAATGTCTGGTTGTGGTCTTTAAAATTTTTAAAAAATCAATTTCTTTTTTTTTTTTTATACATATATATATATTTTTCTTTAACATTGCGAGACTCTATCTGTAGAAGACTCGTTCGAACACTTATAAAATTAACGAAGTTACGTGTAAATATTTTAAAAAGACAAGTATTGTTATATTTTCATGCTTTTGTTTGAAAAATCAGAATCAATTAATTACATTTCACGTAATTCTAATTTATTTATATCGTACAATAAACGTGTCAAACGTAGCTGAATCTTATCGAATACGAAAAAATTGAGAAAGAACGTGTATCGAAATTTCATCGAACATTTTTTCCATTGTACATGGGCTAGAGAGAATGTTGTGAGGAATCTGCGATCTGATTAGTCTATTATCTGGCAACAAACGATAAATCGTGCAACGTGACTATGCAAGGAAAGAAATAGGGAGAGTAGTTAACCATCCTTAAGAATTGCTCTACTTCTCCCTTAAGCTAATATCGTTCCGCAAATGGAGACTACTTACGGCCACTGATCCGTTTAAGTAATGCAATTTTATGCCTAGCTAAAGTACCGATAAACTGGGATAAAAATAGCGATCGATCGATCGGTAATATCGTTGCTATTATCTCGTCGCGGATAAATCTTTTGCCATGCAATTTCTGTACCTGACTTTTCGTCACGGGACGCGTGTTAACGTAATAGAATTTTCTCACTTACCTCCGTAGATGTAATTTACGCAACCGCAATATCGAGTTTTCTTCGTGGTCCTCGAGGCAGCTGCCCATATATTCTACCGGGCGGAAGATAAATAAATAAAAATCATTACTCAAGATCGTGGAGATCGCGTGACCGCGTTTCGTGACGTGACTCCCTTTTTCTTGCGGAAGAATAAGAATGGAAACATCATGAATCAGTGGATTCGACGATTTTATTTCATTTTTATTTTTTAAATAAGAGGTTTTACGCTTATCTTCATCACCAATTTTTCTTATTATTTTTATCTTGTTTTACTCGAATATGTATATATATATATATATATTTTTTGCCGCATCTTAATATCGATTATTCTGCGTGCCAATTACGAAGAATAAAATAATAAGGAATTGTTTCTTTCGATAGATCTATTTTTTTTTGTTTACGCTAAAGGGAAAGAGGTGGAAGACACGATATATCGATAGATTAGGAAGGGTACATTCGAAATGCGGCACGAAGGATGCGTATAAATGTCTTCTGCTCCCTCGACTCGCATCTTTGGGGTGAAAATATGCCCGGTTGTCTCTTCGTATCGCCTCGCTCCGTTTTGTTGCGATATCACGCGATGGAATAGGATATAAAAGGGAAAGGATATAAGCATACGGGACGAACTTACATTTATGCCATCGGATAACGACAGTTTCTCGGAATTATACGGATACGTATATCGGAATTTATTCACAGAATTTATAATTTTCGATTACGTAATATTTGTTTTCGAAAAAAGAATTTTTGGAAGAAGAAAAAATTCGATAAAAATATTGCATGTTAAATTTTTTTGCGAAAATTATCTAATTTTTTATTATATTTAGCAAAATTATTTTAAACGGTGTAACGCTGTTGATGTAACGTGAAATATAAATGAAAATCAATATAATTTTTTTTTTTTTTTACAACGTAAAAACCGTTTTTTAATTTTAGCTTCTTGTAAGTCATTAGGAGATAGATGGAAGTGTATTGATCACTAAAAGATGGCAGCTGTAATATATTTAATAGACTTTCATATATTGCATGATTTTTCATGCAATATATCGATTGGTTAAAATGAATTAGTTTTTGCAAAGGATCAATTAAAATTGCACACGTATTTTCAATCAAATAAAACAATTTTTCTCGAAAAATGCGTTGATCAAGCATCACAGGATATTTCTCAATATTTCTTTCGATGGAATCAACGACGAGGGCATGGCGAAATTTCCGGGCTGCCTTTTTCCCAGAGCGATCGCAATTTAGCCGACAGGAGCGTACATAACACGTACTCTTGGGGGGTCCAAATATCGATTTCCTTTTTTCCCCGTTTCCTCAGCCTTCTTCGGACCTTCGATAAAGTAATGGCGAGCTTGAATGAAATCTTTTTCCCTGCCATTTGTTATTTTCTTCTTGCTTTTCTTAAAAATCTTATCGAATAATTTGACAAAATATTTGACAAAAAAAAAAATCTTTGTCTATGTTTGAAATATCTTTGATTACAGTCTTAATTAATAGGAAAATTAATGAAAACAATAATGGATTCTACTTTAAATATAAATTACACATTAATTAAATATATGTGTTTCATATATATATATATATAATTAAGATAATAATGATGATAATCATGGCAATAATAATAATTATAATAATAATAATAATGATAACGATGATGATAAAAATGATGACGATATAATATAATAACATAATAACAATGGAATGACGAAAATAAATATCTAACTATACAAATAATCTCTACAGTTTACAAATAAAT